GCCCAGAATTATTCTTCATACAGATTTGGCAACAACGAGTCGTTCGGGAATATTCGGAGATGGTGGGCGAATCGAAAATTGGGCCGAACGCAACCTACCCCTTTTTTATACATAGCGTGTTTTTTTTTTCATAAAATACCTTGTAGAGTGTAATACGGTGTAATACTATCAAAATACAGTGTAATACTATCAAGTTAGAATTGAAATTACACTTTAGCCTCATCTTTCTTCAAGATTCTTTTTTGGATTCACTCAATTATGTTTCCTATTACTCGAAAAACACTATTTTATAGCCTAACAAGATTTTAATTTTATATGATATTAATATTAAAATGTAACAACGAAAAAACGAAACAGAATGCGAAGTCAGCCGAGATGACCAAAGTATTTCGCGCACAGGTTGCAAACAAAATTTTTTTACAAACGTCAAAAATATAGTTCTAGAGTAGCAATAGTCTTAGGTTAATATAAAAAATAGTGTTGAACTGGCTTAAAAGGCATCTTCCTATCCTCCCTAGGTTCGCACGATGTTCCATGAACATAATAGGAATTACCTTTCGTGCGCATCAAGAGATAAAAAAAATACTGTTAAACATTCAGAAATGTATGATTTCTTGGAAGTTTGCTCGGTTGAGAACCATGAAAAGTTAAAATACGAAAATCTCACATAGTTTACATAACAATGCGCAAAGTATGTACTTCGTGCATCGTTTTACTTCGCGCACAGCTTCGCACATGGTGTCATGGTAATGTAGGAAACTGAAAAAAAGTGTCCTTTCGTAATTTCCAATCAATGGGCGAACCTTGTCGTTTTTTGACATTTGTAGAAAAAAAAAAGATTTTATAATGAATCTATTAAATTAATTTATTTGTGATTGGATTAAAAATAAGAACATACATTGAATATTACTAAGCAAAATACTAAATAATAATTCCAAGAATAGTTCATTCAATTTTGTCAAGTGTGCCATGGACAGCCATGATGCTTAATAATATTTTGCAGGTATTCTTCAGATTTTCAAATATTCTTTGGAAAACAAAACACTCACTTAAGTAATGACAATGATAAAAGCTTTATGAGTGAAAGTTCCTTAATTTTGTGTAATATTAACGGAGGAGTAAAACATATGAAGATGTCAAATTTAATTCTGATACAGAATCGTCTCAGGAATTCAAAATTGATAAAATATTCATTGAAAACTTCAAAACCGGAGCCATTTCCGGTTCATCAGAAGTAACTTATGACTTGGCTAATAGATTCGTCGACACATAGTATACTGGGTGTTTCCGAAATTCGGGCGTTCAATGAAATGGATGATAGAAGAAGAATAAACAAAACGAAATGAAAAAATATATTTTTTCTACATTCATGCAAAAAACAGAACTTTATTGAACTATATTTAGTGGAAAAAGAAGTTCTTTATTGCACTTAGTGCAATAAAGTTTTTATTGCACTCATCTGTCATTCTACTTCAACGTGCTGTCATCATGACAAACATTTTCTATAATGCAACTGTGGTTATAGAAACGTCAGTCAAAAATTAATTCTGACAATTAACAGAATTGTACCTAGTGCCGCACCTCAATAAATCATTTTTTGCTTTTTGCATGAACGTAGAAAAAAATGTTGTATGCAACTCGTGCAAAAATTGTTTATTGCACTCGACGTGTTGTCCAACTCGGCCTAACGGCCTCGTCGGACAATTTCACGTCGAATGCAATAAACATTCACTTTTTGCACAAATAACTATTTTCTACAAACGTCGAAAAATGACAAGGTCCGCGCATTCATAACAAATTGCGAAGTGACACTTTTTTTCAGTTTCCTACGTTCTGAATGTTCAACAATAACTTTGTTTTATCTCTTGGAGCGCACGAAAGGAAATTCCTTTTATACTCGTGGAACATCGTGCGTACCTAGGGAGGATAGCCAGTTCAACACTATTTTTTATATCAAGCTAAGCATATTTTCTCTTTAGAACTATATTTTTTGACGTTTGTAGAAAAAATGTTGTTTGCGACTGGAGCGTGAAATACTTTGGTCATCTCGATCACAAAAGTAGCATTTCGCGCTCTAGATACAAAAATAACCAAGAAAATAACTATTTGCGGAGAAAAAAAAATTTGGATGATAATGAGCTTTGAAGTTTGCCTGAAACTATTGTAAATTATTGATCAGAGGTTTATAGAGCCAGATCAGAAGCACTGGAACAATGACTTTTGCAATGTTGCTGGACGTTCAAAAATAGTTGTAGTATGGAGCGTATATTTTATGAAAAATTCTCAAAACAACTTTTTCTTGTGATTTTTCATGTCATTATGTCTCATAGAACACCTCATTTCATTGATCGTCCCAATTTCGGAAACACTCTGTATGCTACGAAAATATAAAGAAATATCTCAAACTTTGGAACCCTGTATATCGGAAACAAAGCCCCCATGCATATATGTTTAAATGAGGTTTTCATCTTGAGAACATGTGTTTTTAAGCTGTTAAAATCCTGCTGCAAAATAGGGACTCGAAAAATAAAGTAAATTATTTTTGGCATTTATCTTGAAACCCATACAGTTTTCAAAAAACAAAAGAGAGCAAAAAGTATCCAAATTGAAGGGAAACTCTGAATTGATGTTTCATAGGAAACAGAGGCGGTACAAGAGTGTTAACTGGGGTATGACCTCCGGTATGATCCTCAAAATTGTATCATCCAGTAGGTAAATATTCAAAAACACTCCATAGCCCAAAATATTGCATTTCCAAAGTGTGATAGGTGTACCAAATTTCGATTCATCATTTTGGAAATTGTATAAGGAAATTGGAAGAACAAAAAAATATATTAAACTTTGAAACCCTGTATATCGGAAATGAAGCTCAAGCATATAACTTTTTACATGACTTTGTTTTGTTAAGAATAAACTTCTAGCTCATTACGTCGTTTCTAATTCAAAACCATAGTTTTTAAGTAGATAAGCTTGAAGAAAATGTGAAAGTTCCAGATCCAAATTCAAATAAACTGTGGAAATTCAGCTTTTTAAACAAAACTGTTGGCATTCTTTCCAAAGCACTCTTAGCAAAAATGTTCAAAAATATTTTTTCCAATTTTGATCAACAGGAAAGATTGGATCATACCATCTGATCCATGTTATAAAAAAAATGTAAAAATCCAATATGGAGCCCATAAGAAAAAACAAAGTTGTGTGTTGTAACTTTGGCATCAAAAATGTCATGGAAAATACAATGACAGATTCAGATTCCTTGTGAAAAAGTGCCCTAAGAATGTTCCAGTCAGAAATGTCTAGGTCTTTTGGTTTCCTCTTGAAAAAATAAAAAGGAAAATTATAAATCTTCCTTTTCTTCCAATAATTCAAAAACTAAAAATGACACATCAAATTTTCTTGCAGATAAATGTTCAGCATGAAAATGAGGTCAAAATAAGCCGATTTGAAGCAACATACCTCAGTCCAAAATTGTTCTGTTTCCGAGATACAGGGTGGTGAAAATAAAAAATAAAAATCAACAAGTACAACACTCCAAGAAAGTATTTTGAATAAAACTTTTTTGCACTGCTAATTCCCGGATCAAATTACATCCACGAAGTTAGCAGCAAGCATTTTTTATTCAAAATAATTTGAATATTCCCTTGCTGCATGGAACACAAAAAATCAAAATATCACAAAATCAGCTTACTTCAGTGCCTTTTTTGCTTGAAAATTTTCAGAAAATTATTTCCTAGACAAATAAAGAAAAAATGAAATAATAGTTATTTATGTATTAAGGGAATTATGAGGGCCTTAATTACAGATGGCAAAGTTTGCGTCCCGAGGGCCTCTGGCCCGAGGGACAGCAATTGCCTGAGGTTATTGAGGCTCAGTAATTCCCGTGATACATAGATAATTTTATTTCTGGCTGATTTCATTCATTAGATACCTTCCCGATTGGAAGTTAGACATGTTTTTCCGTATAGTTTCAATGCCATCAGAACGTCAGATGATGATCTTGACTACCGCGAATAGGAGATTCCTTATTGCTACGTTACTGCGTGGTTGTTGCTATGCATTTCTTATTTAATTTTAGTTAGAGGGAATTATAGCATCTATAACATCCCAAGGGAGTTATGACCCTCATAATAGATATCGTAACTATGACGATATAAGCTTATAATGTCACTGTCAGAAATGAAAAAAGTTATGGCCTCTCTGAACCATAAGAGGTCTGTTGGGTGTCCATATTCTTGTTTTGTATCCCAAGAAACCCTTGGATATCAATTTTCAAAATGACATTTATGTTTATGTTCATGAATTCTGAGAAACTCTATTTAAATTCTTCAACTTTACCACTCATGGAGCAATTTTGGACTGAGGTAAGTTGTTTTGAATTGGCTCATTTTAACCCTTGTTTTAACCTCAGGAATATGTGCTGAGATTTTGTACAGACCTTTCAGGAACACCCTGTACAAAAGTACTTGTGTAAGAAGAAAAAACTAGTATGTAATGAGAACATAATACAATTACCTACCATTCAGCCATGGGACCTGTATACTTATTAAAATGATATCAGATTTTTGGTGAATATAATAATCTTTGATAGTTTCATTTTATATTTTGGTGATAAATAGGAAACAAATAACAAATATAAATATATTTGTTTATAGATGAAACTTGTTTATATATATATATATATATATATATTTCTAAATTCTATTAGATACACCACAGTTCCAAAGTTCACTTCAGATTGAATTGGACTAGGAGATCAATTCAATCAAATCAATTCAAATTGATAATGAAATTGCTGAACTACACCCAATACTGTTATCATTATATACATCATACAAATTTGATACAGAACAAATATAATGGACTGGATCTAATAAATAATATAGTATTGTGGATTGAAATGTCTGATTTGATTGTGCCAAAGTTATTACATAACAAAAACCTAATACCTGGTGACCGCGCGGATGAAATCAAATACGATATGAATTATTTACCACCCCACTGACCTGCTTTATTGTCCTCTTCCTTTGAAAGTTTTTTCACTAATTCGGTGGGGTCATTTGATTTTAAATCACCATTTTTATCATTCACAGATGAACCTAGAGCCATTATTAAATAAACGGAGTTACGTTAACACGAACTATTTGGTTTCCAGTGATTCTTATTTCTTATCACTTGATACTTTTCAAAGGGCAATGTCTTCAGGTATAAATTACGACATTTTCACTCATAAACACGTGCTCTTACGTATTCCAATTCCAATAACCCCCTCTATAAATCAGAAATCAAAATTTTATGGAATTCCTTTTGGGTTTTTGGGTTTTCTGGGCATTCATTCGTCACTGTCACTAGTGTCACTAGCGTTACTGTCTGTCACTAGCGTTACGTGTTAATAGAGAGTTGAAGTAATCACTGTACGTAGATCTCCACGTAGACGTTAACGTACGAAAAATAACGTTTACGTATTGTCGTTAAATTGAGTTGAAGTCGCCACTTTGGTCGTCACTGTCATCATAACGTAATAAAACATTTTGTTTTCGGTTTGTATTGGTCATTTTTGGTTGTGTGTTTAGATTCGAACATTTATTCCTGTCAAAATTGGAGGACTCCTTGATGCACAACTCGTTGGTGATCTCGAATTTGATAATTGTGGCTCATCGGCATATTTCGGGTATCGTTTGGTTAACGTACGTTGATATTTAAGGTATACGTGAAGGAACGTGAGATAACGTACACCCGTAAGCCCACTAACAACGCAAACGTGAAGAATTGGAAAATTCGCATGCGTAGCTGTCAATTTCTACGTTTACGTTAACGTTCATGACAACACTTCAACTCTCTACTGTCTGTCACTAGCGTCATGAGGCCCTTTCTTTTGTACAAAAAGTGTAGCACATTCTTATACTTCGTGTAAAATACACCGCATTTGAGCATTCTTTTGAAAAGTGCAATTCACACCAGTCTAGTTTATTCCACCTGGTCTTGGTTAAGGCGTGGGTGTGAATTACTCAAATTCAAGAATTAATTAAATCGCGATAAATGACTCGAAATACATGTCATTATATTCATGATAGAAAAAACCAGTTACATGAAATACCACATTCAAAAATTCAAATTGCACTTTTTCTCTTCAATTCAATATTCTTCGTTCGTTAGAAATTCGTTGGTGTAGCTGCACGAAATATCAGTGCATTACACACATATCACATATACCTCACTGAAAAGCCTACGTAAGAACCCCTTGTGTCAAGGTCTGTCATGGAGTCATGGGTCAGTCTAACTAGACAGACCTTGCCCTTGTGTCACAAGAGGTCTGTTCGCTCTTTCCAAGAACGATACGATAGAGTTCTTGCGCTCTTCCAATAACTACAATCTTCGGCTAAATATCTAGACTGTCTGACGGGTTATACATTAGGGGTTTAGCTACCGTCCCTTCCAGAGAAATCATTTGTTTTCTGTTATTTTGTACTCGTATAGGTCGCGTGCACGATGACCCTGGAGGTAAAATATTGAAACACAACCTCACTTTTCTGCAAAACATTGAAACAAGTCATAGATCTAATTACACAATTAGATCTATGAACAAGCTCACTTTTATTATTTGTTCCAATGAGAAATGACAAAATTTCAAAATGCAAACTATATTTGACTGTGTGTGTAACTATATATATGCTGGCAACTAGCAACCCTATTTAGGAACATGATAAAAAAATCAAAATATGGGAACTGAACCACATCGTTAAACAGCACTTTAAACAAAAGAAGTAGCCTGTAGTGATGGACTATGATGTAAATTTCCATTATGTGCTTTATATCGATGAAATGGAAACTGGAATGTAGGGGAAACCCTACAGGAAAAAAATGTACAATCACACAAAATGTTTGACAACACTTTTATTATGATTTATATTTGGTGATATGGTTAGATATGTTCAAAATCATCCGATCTCTATCACCTCCTTTCAGATATACGTCGCTGAACCATTGTTCTTTATTCCATGAGCCGGATGTAAATGTAGACCGTCATCTGATGACATAAATGTCCCAAAGGCATGTAAATAGTGGCTATATTCCGAATTCAACTGGTCAGTACTGTCAGTTGATCCACTGACTCTGCTGAGAATCTGTGTTCCGAAATATAAAATCAAAAATTCACTACTGTAATTCGGGACACGTTTTCATGGTTTTCATCAGTAGTAGTTTCTCGTTTATCTGAACTAGATGTTCAGCCTCCTATTTGTTATAAATTTTGGAAATTTAATATTAAACATGGAAGAGAAATCGATTCTTGTATCCTCTATAGTTTTTACGATTGTTGACGATGGCGATTCAAGCTCGAGTGATGAAGAATACTTGGACATTTTGTTGCCATAAATTTCTCATGATGCACCATCAGATTGATAATTGAGATTCATGAAAATCGCAATATGCCTTAATAATGATTAATTTTAGGAGACATTCAAGGTTTATTTAGTTTATTCAGCCAATGCTGCTCCTTTCCTTACTTTCTCTACTACTTCATACTCCCAGGTATTTTCTGATATTGAGAATCATTTCATTAACAACGGAAATGAATGTTACATTCCTTTCCCCTCTAAAATATGACAGTTCACTGAAGCCACACTACCTTTTGATACTCAGCAATTCCAGCAGAATGTTGAGTCGAAATATTTGGAATGAATAGTATGTCTGCTGACAAGCATCTGTCACTTCCAGTGAATTTTTTGATTTCGGAATGGAAAATCAGCAGATTTAGTACTGTCAGTTGAATTCGGAATATAGCCAGTATATTACACACCGAGGTGGGATGTGATCGGTGGATGTGATTCATTCCTGTCGTGAGATTAGTTAGTTTACCGAGACGCAAAGCGTCGAGGTTAGCAATAATTTCGAGAAACTTCCTACCGAGGTTTGTATACTATTTTATTTACAACCATCATATTTCGATCAAAATTAATAAATCTATGTTTCGTTCTGAACATACCTGAATTATTACATGAGGGCGGGAAGTAGAGTAGAGGTGTGTAATGTGACACTTCCCAACCTTCAATGACGTTAGTAATGACAACATTACATAATATGGTTGTAAATAAAACATTGTATTCTATCGAGCGGCACCTATGCCAATCACTATCTCAAGCATAATGATTCAAAAACCGTAATTTGGGAAAATTTATTTTTGCGATTTGATAACGAGATAAGAATTATGCCATCCGATAACCAACTGAATGGCAGATCTCAAAACCATACCTGAGCCACCATTTAACCTGAGTAAAATCCTCGCACGTACAGTAAGTAAATTATTTTGATGCCGTCATTCCCCACATACTTCTGTTACGTGATAAGGAGTTGAAACAAACTGAAAAAAAAAATCGTATTGAAACAAATATTTCGTTTCTAATGAAATTGTATATGTCCACCCCGAACATTCTCGGCACCAATACTGATATCGAATTTGTTCTGAAATAAAAGTTTTCGAGTGACTCGAAGAAAAACGACTCGCCGGAGAGAAACCGCAGTCCAATAGTGGTCAGAAATAGTGGTTGATAACATTTTCTTCGAAGTATGTGAAGTGCCGTTTAGTTAGACGGATATAAGATGGCTCTACATAGCCATCTTAGACGGATATAAGTCAATCACTAGTGATAAAATCGAGTTATTTAGGCACAGTAGGTGCACTCGCAATTTTTTTCTTTCAATACCGATCAAGCTGAACTCGTTTTGCTATATAGTCACTGAATTTTAAAACTTTGAGCAAATGGTATTTTTCGATTTCATGTTTTGTTCTCTGACAAACTATAACACATTGAAGTTGATTGATAAAATATTGTTGGATAAGGTTATTTATAGTTGCTTTTTTTATTAGGCGTTTTCCTATGAGTATCTACTTTTGGAATTGTCGGTAGGAGCTACAAAAATAAAGAAACTCACAACAGGGAGCGCAAATCTCAACTTTGGTTTCGTCAGCCGAAACCTCTTCAGTGCCGTACCCTCACTTATGTGAAGTTAGCGTCGGGAGCTAGCGCTCAAACACAGCGCCCACCCCCCACCACAGCGCCCAGTTCACACCAGAGAATTTCATACTCAACTGGCGCTAGCGCCCAAAAATACCAGACATTTTCAGGAAAAACTTTTTTTTCTCCACCTAAGTATTTCTTGTGATGGGTTTTCAGATAGTCGCCGTAAATATACAGGGCGATGACTAAATTTTGGCAGAATTTCTGGTCTCTAAACAGATGGCATCTAATAAAAATATACCTAAGTCGTTTTAAGAAAAACTTTTTTTTTCATCTAAGTATTTCTTGTGATGGATTTTCAGATAGTTACCATGAATATACAGGACGATGACTTCATTTTGGCAGAATTTCAGGTCTCCAAACAGATGGCATCTAATGAAAAAATACCCAAGTCATTATTAGAAAAACTTTTTTTTCCATCTTAGTATCTCTTGTGACGGATTTTTAGATAGTTACCATTAATATACAGTGCGATGACTATATTTTGGCAAAATTTCAGGTCTCTAAACAAATGGCATCTAATAAAAAAATACCTAAATCGTTATAAGCAAAACTTTTTTTCCATCTGAGTATTTTTGGTGACGGATTTTCAGATACTTACCATGAATATACAGGGCGATGACTATATTTTGGCGGAATTTCAGGTCTCTAAGCAGATGGCATCTAATAAAAAAATACCTAAGTCGTTTTTAGAAAAACTTTTTTTTTCCATCTTAGTATTTCTTGTGACGGATTTTCAGATAGTTACCATGAATAAACAGGGCGATGAGTATATTTTGGCAGAATTTCAGATCTCTAAACAGATGGCATCTAATAATAAAAAAATACCTAAATCGTTATAAGCAAAAATTTTTTTTTTTCATCTAAGTATTTCTTGTGACGAATTTTCAGATAGTTACCATGGATATATATACAGGGCGATTACTATATTTTGGCAGAATTTCAGGTCTCTAAACAGATGGCATCTAATAAAAAAAAATACCTAAATCGTTATTAGCAAAAATTTTTTTTTCATCTTAGTATTTTTTGTGACGGATTTTCAGATAGTTACCATGAATATACAGGGCGATGACTATATTTTGGCAAAAGTTT